TAAAAATATATTTTTAGAAAAGTTACATACTGCACCTTTAAAGAAAGAGGTTTTTACTAACTAACCTGTAGTCCAATGACACACTGCCCAGCCTTGATCTTCTCTTCATCAAAGTGTCGTGCTTGTTTGTCTGCATATTTCACCCCAATATCAACCTTTGTGTCCATGCCTTTGGTCTTTGCCTGACAGAGAGAGCACGCTGATGAAAGGACTGGACTCGGGATTCGTGTCCAACAACAACAACAACAGAAAATGTCCTCAGAGCACAGAAACCCTCTGAACTTTGTATCCACTCACCATACTAGCCAGAGCGAGCAGCGTCGTCTGGACTTGTGTCATGTTTCCATTTTCAAACAGATCGTTGGCCTCAAAGATGTCACTGGGCTTTAGGCCGTAGTTCAGGATGGCTTTGATGAAATTTCCCAGGTTTTCCAGCTGCAGAAAGCAACAGACAAGAAAAATTACCTGTGGCTCAAATAAAGATGGTGAAAGCTTCACAGAGAAACCTGCATTGGTTTCTGGTTTTCAAAATGAACAAAGTTTGGTTCTGTTTCCAGTTGAGTCCTACCTTGTGCCAATTCAGCTGTGATTGGTTGATTTTCTTTATAGAACCAGGCTGGAGCTTATTTATCAGTCTAAACAAAACAACAGAGGTTCTCAGAACATTTCTAACAGTTTAGGTTATTTAATCACACACACACACAGCTGGTACCAAAACATCAAGACACACTTGCACACACTTTTTATTTCAGAGGTCACCACCATATTTTCCTCCAGGTTCAAGTTTTTCAAATTTGTGTACACGGACAGTTTCCTGCAGTCAGTCACAGGTGACTCTTGCTTCCTATTTGGGAGCGGACACACATTTTATTTAACTGCATTTTGTTAGCAGCCTTGAACCAAGAGAAGAAGRCAGGAACTGAACACCAACCAGAGCACGAGCGGCTGCTTCTGAAAAAAAACTGTCTGTGCCTGTGTGGGAACAAAAACTAACACTGCAGTTCCTGTAATCCCTGATGGCTGCAGCAGGAATAGAACAAATGTGCATGTACACTTTAAAATATAAAAAAGGTACAATAATACACCTAAAAAAAGGTACATTGAATTACTATTTATTGTACCTTGGGATACCAAGAATGCACATATAAAAAAAGGTGCCAAAAAATGGGTTCAGTGCCACATGTTTGTACCTTTCAAGTCAATGTATCCTTTTAGGTATATTTCGGTACTTGTTTTTTTTTTTTTTTTTACTATGTCCTGCAAAAAGTTATGCCAAATAATCAGCACAGGTTTCATTTGCTGTGAAGCTTGTATTTTCACATTCTGGAAATGTTTTCTAGCTCTGCAATTGTCTGTTTTTGCAACAAGTCACGATCAAATTATCTGAAAATTTTCCTTTTTCTATTGTTTGGTTTTTTTGTGTGTTTGTAATAGCTTACTGGTGTTTATTAAAACTTCAGAGTGGAAAAAACAAGAATACATCTTTTTTAAATTTTACTATTGTGCACATGTATCAAACTCAAGGCCCACGAGCCAAATCTGTACCTGGTTAACATTTTATCCGGTCCCAAAGGTAATACTTTAAATGTGAAATAGTTTTATGGTTTCTCTTTTTTGTCGCTGTATTCAGTACATTCTTCTCATGACAACTGGTCAACGTTCAAGCCAAGAAATTTACGTTTGAATTTTTCAGTAATCTTTAATTTTGGTGCGGGAAGAGCAACAGAGAATTTACTTTAGTTACCTTTTCCTGCATTATTTTCTTACTTTAAAGTCAAATAATTGGATTTTTGCTGGATTGAGATAAAATCTTTAATGCGTGTTAAAGCTGTTTAATGTGTGTTAATTTTTAAATAACATTTCTTAAAAATACAGTGTTCTGTGGGGAGGCAGCTCAGCAGCAGACTGAGCTCCGGGGAGGAGCTTTGTACAAATAGGCGGAGCTTTGCACCAGCAAGTGTTTCGGCAGCTCCACATTGTTACCACAGAAGATTCAAGGATTTCTCAAACATGCATGAATGAGTCAAAGCAACACTCTTGGTGTGTTTTTGATTAGGAAATTACATTACAGCATAATAAATAAAAAAAAACAATAATACACCCCCTTTACAGTGAACCAGAAGCAGCAATGTAAACTGCATTATAGGACAGGGGAAAAAAATAAATCACGTCATTCTGGAGTTAGAAGAACGTTAAGTTGTTTAACATGAGAAAGGAATGAGTTCCACCTTGTTCTGAATGTTTTAACAGATCCTTTAAGCACATTCTGTCTAATTTTTACCTTTTTTAAGTTGCTGAAAACAGAGTTCACCTACTGAGGTGAATTTAACAAAATTAGTTACAACTTTTTTAGTTTTGGAAAGGTGTTAAGGTTGGCCATGGTACTCCAAATGGATTTTTAAACAATCTGAACAAGTGATTAATGTGTGGAAACGTTTGCTGGAGATTGGTGTCGTTTCACACAGACAGGTAATTAAAAACAGACGTAGAACTTACTCGCAGAGGATGACCCCGTCCTTCAAACCTTGTTGGAAATTATCTCCAACGGACATCCCAGTGACCTCCTCCATCCAGAAACGCAGCTCCTCCTCCTTTTGTGGATCATATTTTTGAGCAATCTGAGGGGAAAATCATAAATAAAACAAAACTCAAATGTCAAATAGGCTTTTCTATTTAAAAAAAGGCAGATCAGGTTGAAAAACATGATGTTAAGGATGGCTGACTTGATAGGGAAGTGTTATTCTCTGGCACATTGCACGTCAAACATTTCCTCATATTTGTCAAATTTATCTCAAAATGGACACAAGTTACAGACACCAACATTATGACTGTTCTCTTTCTGACAAAACAACATCGTATGAAAGGCTTTGTGACAACAAGAACACAAACTCAGCTTTAGCTCTACAACAAAGCAAGGCTTCAGGGTGAGAATCTGACTCCTCGTGAGGGAAAAGGTCAACAGTTCTGACGCATGAAGGCCCAAGCTGAGTGCTGATCAAACATATTGATTAACTCGTATCAGTGGGAACACCTTCTATAAAAGCACGAGTTTTGTCAGTTTGCTTCACTGAAACATTATGTGTGTGTTTACACAACGCCAGGGTCCATCTGCCCACCTGCCCATGAGAAGTCAGGGGTCATTTCTAACTTATTAGAGGGCTGCCATGATTAGTCGACGACTAATCGACTATTAAAATAGTCGATGACTAATTTAATAGTCGATTAGTCGTTTTTTTGTTGTTGTTTGTTATTTACTTTGTTTTTCTCTCCAAACTGCTGTAGTGGCTGCAGCAGTAGTGGTAACTGGGGTAGGCCGTGGACGTCACAAGACATTATACAGACAGGCTCTGGTATCATGGCTACCTGGCAACGGGGCTCAAAAATGTGGGATCATTTTAAGAAAATGAAAGAGAAACCTGTGCAATATCCGCAGAGCAGAACTTGCCTTCCACAGCAATTATTTTTAGTTAGCATATAGCTAAAATCTAACCATGGTTATATAATAGCAGCTGCATTCTGGCGCAATACGCTGTATGTTTTATATTCAATTAACATATGATCCGATTGGTCGACTGATCGAAAAAAATAATCGGTGATTAATCGACTAGAAACATAATCGTTTGTGGCAGCCCTAGTCTTGTCAAATTCACCCTGATGGTCAGACCGTGCAATGCTCAGAGAAATGACAAAAATGCCAAAAGCTTCATGTCCCCCTGGATGACGACAACTGGTCTAAAACTGATGTCCTCAACATCAGAACGCAGCTCTCAAGAGGTTATATGTATAATTTWTTTAAATAAATAAATTTAGGAGAGGACAAGCTTGAACTATAAATAAAAAACAAAGCAAAGCTTTGTTTTCTTTACTTCATCAGGCCCTGAAGGAGCTTGGTGTTCTCAGCTTGTGATGAAGGACACTTGTTACGCCTGGTTTCATACACACTCTCATGGCACGACAATTAGAAAACAAAATTRCTTTATTCCAGCCAGGGGTGCACAATATGAGAAAAAGTTGAGATGCTGAATATTATTCAGTCAGAGTGGCGGGATTTACCGTATACATTTTTTTGTGGGGTGGGGGTGTATCATTGCTTATGAGCATGACTACAGGTCTTATACTTCTCAACATTAGACCTATCAGATTAAAATGCTGCTTTCATTTGCCTCCTTATGCCTTCCTGGCTGTCATAGCTGCTCTCTCTCGTCTCTTTCCCTGTTTAGGAGGTACTGTTTAGAAGACAGAACCAGTAAATGGACAGCCCATTCCATGGTGATGTTCCCTCTGGAAGTTCAGAAGTCACTAATGAAGACACTCTCTTACCTCACTGATGAGGCTTTCAGAGTATATTCATCATCAGTACKGTATTAAAAGAGGCGTGGAAAAAAAACTTAGTTGCTCTGATTCACACTGCTGCTGTGTGCAGCAGGAGTTGCTGAATGGCTCCTTAATATGTTGCAGGGATCAAAATACGTCCAAGTAAGTTTTTTAGTATTTTAACTTTGAAAATATTCAGACTCTTATTACAGTTGTATCCACACTGCTGCATATTTTTAGCCACTCTCTGGCCAGATAAAGTTTGTTTGGTGATGAAGTTTTATTTGATGAAGTTCCCTTTCAGTCAATTCACTCGGTACAACATCATGTATGGGAAACCACGCCCCTGCGTGTCCTGGCTGAAGC